TCAGCAGGAGATGAGCTCCTCCTCAAAACAGAGGGAAACATCTACCAGAAGTGGAAGAGCTGCTGACCACTCAGCTGCAATTATCCCAGAATAATTGCCTCTCTTTTTATTCACATGCATAGGCTATCTTTAGTGAGGCATAGCAGCCTCTCAGTGAATTTCTTTAGGACTATTTCCTATTAACACTTTGTAACCCACTTTCCCTCTCCCTTCCATTCAACCTCTACTTGCTATTTCCTCCTCACTATTTACTGAGATCACTGCTGGTGGAACAGGATCAGCCTGGTAAGGCAGCCAAGGAGTAACAATGCGTCAGATGTGCTCACAAGACAAAGAACAGGTATGTATCCTGCAATTTGACACCAGTAACAAAAAATCTCTTCCCCTTAGCTAGCTCAGAGAGATGTATTCAATTATGTCACCTAAGACTGGCAAATGACCTCATGCCAGTCACATAATACAAGTAAGCCCTCCTATAAAGCATCTTCATAGGAAAAATATTTTAACCAGGAGTTCATACCTTCTGGAATCAGGAATATCAAAAGAACTTAAGATTCGAGAATCATTGAGAAACAAATAGCAAATGCTACCTAAAATTAGCAAAACATGACTTCTCTAAATAAACAGCAAATTCTTAAAGAATCAGTTTTAACGTCCTCGTGGCTGTCTGAGGACCACAGTGTGGATTCATTGCTCTGCATACAGAAGCTACACCAAGGTGCACAAACTCCAAACACTTCATATGCAATTATAAGATGGAAGCAAACCCAACTAGATAACCAGTGGAAAGGAAAGTGACCACCAGAGAATGATAAATGGGGAAATAAACAAAACAGGAAAAAAGTTTCTATGGACCATGCAAGCTCTACTGACTACTAAAAAAATCAAATTGTATCAAGCTTTATTTCCCAAAGTATAAGCCAGTTTTCCTCTGGATGCATTAAATAGGATGATAGAATGAAACAGTTGTTTCTGCAATCAGCATATACTATTCTGCTCAGTCTGGTCACCTACACATGTCACCTAAGTGTGGCTAGACAGATGGGAAGCTCCACCAACTCCTTAATCAACAGCCTAAAGGCCTCTAACAAAAAATTCTGTATGACATTTGAAAATTAGTCTAAGTTTTAATAGAGCAAGGTGTTTATCTAAAAGCATTTGTGACTCAAAGTTATGCCTTCAATTTTGACTTAATACATTAAAATACAATTTATGTCAAGTAAGGAGAACTCAAGTCTAAAGATATTAACAGATAAATATTAGTAATAAAGGCACACTAATACATAAAAATAGCTACTATAGGGCTAAAGCAGCTTGTTCTTATTTGCCAACTTCCTCTTTACTCCTGTTTTCTTAGTTAGTGCACATTGCTACTAACCTCAATACCACTTTGTCTCGCTAGTTTTACAGCTGTATTGTAGTAGCCACAGCGTAAAAGATGTTCCACCATCATACGATCCATACGTTTCTTCTTCCACATGTTTGCAGCAGCTGGCTGGTCACTACTATGTTCTTTCAGATGTTCAATCCTACGTTTGCAGAGTTTTGCACTTTCATCTTCAGCCTGGATTGATTCAACTGCCTAAAAAGTAAAAATTAACAGGAACAAATAAGAGCTATACATTTACAATTTGCTTTTAAAGCAAAATACAGTAAGAATTGTTTGTAAGCATTCTTTACACATTATACAGTTACTCCCAATACTGTGTCTTTCATTTAGACAGACATTTCAGCATTGCTGGTCCAGCTCTGAGATATTCTCGCATATAAGTTTTCACTTATTTGATATTATAAGCATATGCATTTTTCTGCTTAATGTGGAGTTAGCCTGAAAACAGCAACATATCAATGACAGCAGCAACTGCTGTAATAGTCTGCAAAGAGCTTTGGACCAGATGACTGCAAACATTCACAAACAGTTGAAAATAATGAATTTCCACCTCTAACCTATGGATGGCTTCTTCCTCAAGCAGCTGTCCT